AATAGAATTTACTTATAACAATAGTTTTCAGCAGAGCATTGGAATGGCGCCCTTTGAAGCGCTATATGACAGGGCTTGTAAGACGCCCGTGTGCTGGAACGAAGTAGGAGAAAGAAGCATAACCGGGCCAGAGTTGGTTCAACAGTCGATTGAGGCAGTTAAAGTTATTCGCGAAAGGCTGAAAACCGCACAAAGCCGTCAGAAGAGTTATGCAGACAGAAGGCGAAGGCCTTTAGAGTTTCAAGTGGGGGATCACGTATTTCTTAAGGTATCGCCCATGAGAGGACTTTCCAGATTCGGTAAGAAGGGTAAATTGAGTCCGAGGTACGTGGGACCTTTTGAGGTTTTAGAAAGGATCGGGGATTTAGCGTATCGCCTTGCACTTCCACCGAATTTGTCGCAAGTGCATAATGTGTTCCACGTATCAATGTTGAGGAAATATGAACCAGACCCAAATCATGTGTTAAATTATGAGGAGATAGAAGTCGATGACAAGGTGTCATATGTCGAGAGACCAGTAAGGATTGAGGATCGGAAGGAACGGGTTCTAAGGAACAAGACGATCCCGATGGTCAAGGTTATTTGGGAGCATCACGGGACTGAAGGCGCAACTTGGGAAAGTGAAGAGATGATGCAACGTCAATACCCCCAGTTGTTTGAATAGTAGTAGGATTTGTAAATTTCGAGGACGAAATTTTTGTAAGGGGGGAAGAGTTGTGACATCCTGAATTATATTCATTTGGGATTTATGAAATATTTGGTTTTATGAATGCACTCGTAGTTAGTTCTCGCCCGGAACTGATCATTCCTAGGATACTAACCATTAGGGAAAGGCTAACTGGGGATTTAAATTCGTGCGACTAAGAGAAAATTCAATTGTGAATTGATTTTCGACCATAAAATCGCCGAGGTGACATTTTGAGCCACTGTAGGCCGATCCAAGGATAGCTAGGGGCCAGTTCGCCACTGTCATAGTAGTGGATCGCGGGTAATTCTGCTGGACCACGAAATGAATTGGCAAACGATCCTAAATCTATACCAAATGATCGTGCCCCTCGGATCTAGCGATTAATCCTCGCGATTTAAATGACAACCGAAGTCGTCATGAACCGAATGAACTTGCACGTGACTCGATTTATTATCAGTCACAGGTCGAATATACGAATTTCCCTAAAAAGCCGCCCGTTAGTTTGAGAAACGCTCGAGTTGCGTTTAATAAAATTTAATTATTTAATTGAGCCCAAATTGGACATCGAAAAATTTGGAAGTCACAACGGGACGTTAGGACGACGATGTGGTTGGGACGTGCAACTTTGGAATGTCCCGAATCCTTCAGAAAAATTCAATTTCGACAAGAAAATGGAAAAGTGACCATTTTACCCTTGGGAATTTATGAAGGGCATGTTTTATGAGGGAGGGGCATTTTGGTCATTTTGCCCTAACTTTTTGGTTTGACATTTTTGCTCTTGGAATTTTATGAAATTCCCAAATTGCCCTTGGATATTTTTGGGAAAGATTCGATCTCGGTCGTCGGCTTCAAGATAAAATCAAATATGGACCGTCGATTTGGATTGTGAGAGAGGGGCAAGATGGTAATTTGCCACTTTTGGTAAAAGTTTGAATATTTAAGTCCAAGACTCTCTCTCTCTTCATTCTCTCTCTCTATCTCTCGGCCCATCTCTCTCTCCCCTCCCGATCGCCCTCCTCCCTCTTGGCCGTCCGCCGATCACCACCACTGCCGGTCACGCCGTCGAGCCACCGCCCGTCCGCCGCCGTACCGCACCACTGCTACCACCCCACGCCGCCGTCCCTCTCTTTCTCTCTCTCTTTCTCCCGCCCGTGTGGCCGCGGGTCACAGCCAAGGAAACCGAGGCCGCCGCCATACGCCGTTCGCGCCACCGCCAAGCCGCGCCACCGATCGCCGCCGCTTTCCGCTCTAGCCGTGTTAGTCTAAAGCTCGGTAAGTCACGCCCTAAACCTTATTTAGGATGTCGGGTATCGACGGATAATTTTCGGGTGAAATCGGGTTTAATTAGGTGCGGAATTGTACGATTTAGGAGCGGAATCAATTAGCGGGCCTTAGAATTGAATTTGGGAAATTTTTGTGGAAATTTTGAGGTCAAAAGCGGGCTGTGGATGGCTGATTTGAGTGCTGTAATGCTTGGTTCGGTACCCAAATTGGATATTTAGAACTGGCGAATAATTGGGGGAAAATATCGTGAAGAGCCGGAACTGATTTGACGTAGTTTGGATATGAAAAAATGCCAATTTGTATGTTGATTGTGTGTTTGTACTGTGGTTGAATTGTGGTGGTGAAATTGGGTGCATTAGTGTGCAATTGATTGATTGAAATATGCCTATTGTGTGCACGCTCGGGCCAGATCGAATTAATTGTCAAATTGGCCATGTTGAATGCTTGTTGAGCATGAAAAATATATGTGAATTGTTGCGTACACGGGCCACGTGTGATTGGCCAATTGATTGGCAAGTGAGTGTTGAGCATGTAAATGAGAAAAAGATCGTGTGTGGAATGGTATGTGTGGCCGTGGAAATCCCTGAGGCGGTATCACTACGTAGGGATGTTTCCGTCCTGAGGCGGTACTACTACGCGGGACGATGCTCGGTATTACCGGAAGACTGCCAACCTGAGGCGTGTACTTCAACGCGGGTTGTGCAGTAGGTGGTAGATGTTGAGCCTGAGGCGTGTACTGTAACGCGGGCGAGAGACATGGCCTGAGGCGTGTACTGTAATGCGGCCCCTGAAGTGTTGTGATGAGATAGTCGCAGTGAACCTGAGGCGTGTACTGTAACGCGGGTCACTGGCGAGTGGTGTGGAAAAGAATGTGATGAGGCAAGCATAAATGCGTGAAATGTGAATTGAATGTGCATGTGATTGGAAAATATAGTATTATGGCTAACGTGCAGGTTGCACGCTGGGAAGGCTAGGTAAGTGCTGATTGTGTGCCTGCTATGTGATGGTTGGGTGTGTGATTGTGTTTTGTGATTGTCTAGAGGTACGTGATAGCCTAGGTGGGGTTTAGGGGTGTACTTACTGAGATATAATCTCACGGTTATTTCAACCAAACATTTCAGAACCCCGGCAGGAATAATGAATCCTCAACCGCCGCCGCCGCCTGAGCATTTTGGAGTACCAATGCACACCGAGCATGATGTCGTAGAGTTTCCTATAGAAGACCATATGACCTGGATTAGGCGTACTACTGTAGTGTTTGTAGATGTAGGATTACCCCTGTGGGAGCCCCATACATACACCGCCTGGTTCTTTAGGGACGGGGTAGATGAGTTCGGTCCTGTCCGCGGATTTGATGTCCCCTTTGATGGAGTTGGGGACTGGGACCCTTCTGCGATTCCTCCCCCGGATGGCGAATTGACTAGTGTAGAGACCAGTCTGGCGCAGTCAGGACAACATCCGGCGCCCGTAGCACCAGGGTCTTCGGGGGCTGAGCACGAGCCAGAGCCGGAAGGGTCTCTAGTGGGAGACGACCCCATGGATGTGGATCTTGAGCCAATTCCGGAGGAAGAACCGGAACAAGAAAGGGCGAGAGGCCGAACCCGAAGATGTACTGCACGGAACCGGAGGACGAGCTCACGAGAAGAACCGGAGTATATACTCCCGTTTGAGCAGTGGATGGATCCCAATTTTGTACCCGAGGACGATTTCTTTGAGGAGCCGGTCGAGGAGGAACAGATCGAGGTTCTAGCTGAGTCTGGTGATATAGACCACTCGATCGAGATAGAGGCAGAGTCGGAGTCCTCGGAGGAACAGGCTGATCAGGGAGGTTCAGATTCAGAGGACGAGGAATCAGGCTCAGAGTGGACGCCGAGTAAAGGGCGTAGGGGGTTAGCGTAGGGGTTGGAAATAAGTTTTGGGAGGTGTGCCATTTTTGGCAATAGAATATCCAGGTTATCGATCTTTTTTGGAAAATCGGTGGTTTTATGGTATGGTGTGCATATGTATGTGGCGGATGTAAATTGTGAATGTTGTATAAGTTTGGTAAATGGAAATGAATATGGGTATTCTCCCTGATTCCCCAGTCTTTAATTGTCCGAGTATCTGTGGTTTCCGCTGTTGATTTAAATCTCTGATATTTATAAGTGAGGTCGGCGATACCCTGGGATGTCGCACAAATCGACCAGTGTAGGGTGTCGCGAGCTCGATGGGGTTCGGGGCGTGACATATATCATATATTCGAAATTTTGTGAAAATCACGCCGCGTAGTCCGATTATTGAGTTGTTGAGTTGTGGGATTTCATGGAAATGGTAGATTATGGCATTGTAAATTTTCCCAGGGTTGTTTTTTAACTTTTCCCAGGGTTGCCTATTACATTGTTAGAAGCCTAAAACCTACCAACGATGTTCATCATTCCATATTTGGTAGCAAGTTAATCTTATTCAATACTCCATATTCAGCTATTATCAAACAACATGGCTTGTTTGCTTGGATTTAAAATATAAAAAAATCGTTTTCCTGACAATTTTTAAAGAATTTTTGGAATTAAAAAAATATGGGAATCTACTTGTTAAAAATTGAGTGTGTGAAAGTTTTTGGAGTTTCGGTTAAAAAAATTATCAAAGTGCGCTGAAAACTTATAATTTAGCACTTAATGAGGTTAAACTTGGCTGATAACTTAGCATTGAGTTGATATACTCAATTAAGTCAAAAATCCACTTAATGTGGTAAGTAATGGAGGGATTACTTAATTCATTCAACAATAAAAAAAAATTGATGGCAACTAAAATTGCCAAAATTGTCATTGCTATAGCTTTGGTAAGAAATCGAAAAAATTTAGCTATTACTTTTCAATTATAGTCAAATGATTTTGTTTTCTATTTTCAACACTTAAAAATTAACTACTTCAATTTTCAGTACCCTGTTTGACAAATTTGTTATTGAAATTTACACCATCATATGCTTCTTCTGCCCTTTGAACCCGAAAAAAACCAGTCTACAATCTGCAGAGACATCCTCGACGGCATTCTATCGACCTTCTGGCAATGTGACCGTAATAACGTTGAGTGTGTAGCCTTCTTCCTTAACTAAAGATGCATCTGAGCTACCTGAACTCCTCTCCATGAAGAAACCAGGCTCTTTAGGCTGGGGCAAGGTTGCTCCTTCATTTGCCAACATGAAAACAACACTGGACATTGTCGGCTTATCTTCAGGAAACTTTTGGACACATAACAAGCCCACCTGAGCGCATCTCTCTGCTTGAGACTCGACGACAGAGTCGCATAAAGATACATCAATGAGTTCCATGGCCCTTCCTTCACTCCATAGCAACCAAACCTGAAAAATTTTAACTATTCAAGATTACCACTGCCTGTGCATCAACAAGAAAACATGTCTACGGGTACAAAGAACATATGGGATGAGGTTTTAGGAGAAACTAAATATCTCATCTTGCTTAGCGAAAAAGAAATGGCAGATCTTAATAATCCTCGACCACTTACGTGCCCAAGAAGGTTGTGATAACGATCAAGATGCTGGAATCCTCTATTCCTTTTGCTACTTACCGTCTCTAACAAAAGTACACCAAAGCTAAAAATGTTGGACTTCACAGAGAATTTTCCGTCAAATGCATACTCTGGGGACATGTAACCACTGCATCAAGCAAATCAGGCGTCAGTTCCTCCAAATACTTGTGGATAGTGCACTGTTCGAATGAATCAAGATAAGAAACTTACTATGCACCAACTATTCTTCTCGTCTTTGCCTGTGTCATGTTCTTGAAAGTTCCTTGTCAAGCCAAAATCCGAAATCTTTGGATTCATGTCAACATCTAACAAAATGTTGCTTGTCTTAAGGTCTCTGTGGATAACTTTTAGTTTTGAATCCTGGTGGAGATGGAGAAGTCCTCGAGCGATTCCTAAAACAATGTCAAATCGCCTTTTCCATTCCAAAGAGGAACTCCTATCATGATCTGCACACACTCAACCCCATCAAAAACTAATTAAGTTTTTAGCAGTTGGCTGTATTTTCTGGCGAAGGAATCAATGGATAGAACAAAAGCACAAGGAATCAAGTAAAAAGGAACTCACGAAGATCAAGTGGTTCTGACCAAAGATGAAATAATCCAAGCTTTTGTTTGGCATATATTCATAAATTAACATTCTTTCTTCTCCCTCAATGCAGCAGCCAACAAGTCCAACAAGATTCCGGTGCTGAAGTCTGGCAATAAGGACTTCATTCATAAACTGATCAAGACCTTGTCCTGAATATTTTGACAGCCTTTTTACTGCTACTTCTTGTCCTGTGGAAAGGCTTCCCTGCATGTATTTTACTCATTATGGGCCTCTTTAGTTATTTGAAATCATTGATTTATAACTTATTACCTTGTAGACCGAACCGAAGCCGCCTGCTCCTAGCTTGGTTGCTTGAGAGAAATGGTTGATGGCAACAGCAACGGTTGCAAAATCATATAATGGCAAGTCAATGTCATCCATCTCACTTGGCAAGCCTACAACTACAAGGGATGTAAATTAAATTCTCAAACCATACCATAATATTAACAAGCAATCCGGAATTTGACCACATGAAGTAAAATAAAGGTAGTTAGCTTACCTCGTCTTTTCATTCTCCTCTTCCAGATTATGCTCAATGCCGTGCCCATTATAAGCAATCCCGAAATGGCTGAAGCCACTGTGATAGTCAACAGTTTCTTGGATGGACTGTGGATTGAATCTAGCATAAAGGAAGAAGTGAAGAAACTAATTCGGAAAAAGAGTTGATGTGTAAGCTGATGGATCTATCTCCATTAGATGAGATATAAATACTAAGTAAAAGAGCAATAGTTCAGTCTGGCATTGACAAAGGACGCATCGATGTAATGAAAGTTTAGAATAAAGAAGAAAAAAGCAAATTGACCAAACCAATTAGCTAATTTAGATTCAATATATGCATTTACCTAATTCAAAAGCAGGTAGCCGTAGGAAGAGATATTGCTTATTTTCAATCTCGTCAATTTCCTTAATATCAATGAGATCACCAAACCATATCAAGCAGCCTTCTCCTTTAATATTCGAATTAGCATAAGCCAGGCAAGAACAATTCTTTAGACACTCAATTTTGTACTCCTCAAGGCTCATATTCTTGAATAGCTGGAAATCTACCAAGTCAGGTAATTTCACCAGTGAAAGTTTCAGAAAGCTGTCGCCACAAATGGAATTTTCCTTATGCACCCTTCTGTCGAATTAAGCATGTCCCACTCATCTCGTGACTTGGGCTTGAAACCCTGCAAGCAAAGGCATCTTGGTCTTTGGTTAACTCTGCACACGCCATTAGAGCCGCACTGTCCATAGCTGTCACAAGGATCATGAGGGAATGAGTAAATTAGATCCCACTCCGTGCTTCCACTCTTCAGTAGATGACACTCAATGATACCATCCCGGCTTATCACAACTTTGGCAGTGATGTCTTCCTTTAAAGTTTTAATCGTTAAATAGGCATCTGTTGAATTGTTAACAATGACGGGATTAACAACACTATTCGCCTCCATGGAAGCACCGCTGAATGCAACTCCATTCCATGGCCCAGTTCGATATACTTTGACGGAACCCTTGCTGACAACTTCAATTTGAGGTAACCCGTCGATTTTGTATGTGTATGTAAAATCTCCACGGGAAGGATCGTCTGTACTTGTCCAGGAAGTCAGATGATGCTCCAAACCAGTCCTAAAGTTCAACCCCAGCTTCATTCCGACTAAAAGCGTGTCAGACAGGTAGTCGAAGCTTTGCCACGAATAGGCTTCATGAGTACTTGAACCGGAATTATCCCAAAGAACAAGATTTCCCGAATTCAGGAGATGCGCAACTGGATTCCGGAGGATCCTGGACGACTTTGAAGACCAAACAACAGCATTCGACTCGTTGAGAACAACTAGATTGCCCACATTGTTAAATGTGAGAACACCATCACGATCGGCTAGCGGGTTGTTTCTGTTAGCAACCCACACAACCGTTTCAGGGCTGACTTTGTACCACATACCCAAGTAGCTCATACTCGAGTTGCCAGGAGTAAAGAATCCTAGCTTAAAGGTTAGGTCTGAAGAAACCAATGTTTCTCCATAACTGATGCATCGGTTCGTGCCCAAAGTATCTGCTGCAAGTGACAAACTGATTGCAGGGACGATGATGAAATTGGAGAATGTGATCCTTGCCACTGTTTGCAAATGTTCTCTTCTAAGTTCTAACTCCATCTTTATATGCAAATCATTCCGAAATTATCCCCAACATGAACACAATTCAAACGGGTCATCAAGGTCTAAACATTTTTTATTCCTTCCCGCTAATATTTATCGGTTTCACTTTATTTATAGCAGCTTTTTTGAATTCCAGTCGGATAATAAGGGGTAGGAACTCATGCTCACGGACCACTTTTCATTTCGGCCATGTTCATATCCTAAGTAGCACCGACATCGACACGCGACACGGAACACGGCACGACACGTGATAGTCATTTCTCAAAAAATAGATAATTCCGACACATTGGGACACGTTATATATTAAATATATACATTTATATATACATAATAAATTGTTATTTTTAAATTTGATTCAAATAAGTAAATAAATGATAAAAAAAAAAAAGCCTAGAATGAATTTACCCTAAAAACATTAAACACATGCGAGCTTAGTAAACATAAATTTTAAAAAAATAATTATGTGTAAATAAATAAATTAGTTAAGAAACTAAAAGTAGATAATCAAATTAGAAAAAAAGGAAAGTACAAGAACAAAAATAAAAAAAAGCAGCCGATTGTTGGAAGCCCAGCCCACTTTCATTTGTCAAAACCCTAATAACATCTTCCTTTCTTTTTCTCCGCCTCCTGCTCTCTCTAGCTTCCTCCTTCGCGCCACCCGCAGCCTCCTCCCATCTCTTCCTTCTCCTCCGTCGCCGGGGAAGCGCAATTCAAAGGAGATGATGACGTGAAGGGCGTCGTCCTCGGCGCCGGAGAAGCCGGAGGCGAAGGAGATGACGGATGTGGAGGGCGTCGTCCTCGGCACCAAAGATCTGGCACCTTCTTCCTCATATCTCTCGGTAACGAAGGGACACGCGTGTCGCCAGCGTGTCCGATGCGTTGACCGTGTGTTGGATGTCCGACACCTGTTAACCGCGTGTCCGAGTGTGTCCGAACGTGTTAGACGGTGTAGGACACTCTGGCTCCTAGAGCGTGTCGGTGCTACATAGTTCATACCTCGTTCTTTTCCAGTTAAATTATTCAACGTCTGCTGAAACAAAGAAAGTTTCACATAAGCATGACACGTTTGTCTCTACCAAACCCATCATCCCTGGTCAGGGATAATTTCAGGGTCAACCATGCCCGTTTTGATACGACATGCGAAGTTAGCAATTCCTTAGTGGGTCGGTTTAACCCTTCCAATGGGTTGGACGGTACGGCAAAACCGGATTGGAGGCTGTAACGTAAAGTAGGGATTATTAAGATGAGATAGGCGATTTGTCCGTTCAAGAGTTATTTATATATGAGAATTTTCGTGGATGTCACTCATCCAAGAAATAACTCTTGAACGAACAAGAGTTACAAGACTATAAGATTATATTTTGATGTTCGATATGAGTACTCCGATGTTCCTTTAAGACGGATCTATCGTCTAATAATTATAGTTTAAGATATTGATGAGTACAATAAATGGATTCTTCAGACCGTGCATTTAAAATTAATCACACCTAAGTTGTTGGCCGCCTTGACGCATACCCTTCTCCGCGTGCATCGTCCTACACACCGAAGTAGATCAAGAAGGGACTATAACGATGATGACCAATATTTGTGAAGTTAGACCATAGACCACTATTATAGTTCCATCCGTTAAGAAGCCCACAATATGCTTTAGCCGGTGTAGAGCTATCCGGGTACAAGCCTCCGTCTTTCACCTTCGGATCTTTAATCCATGTTAGGATTTTTCATGTGATTACTTGAACCATATATGATCTTTAAATTTAGTACTTTGGCTAAATGTTAGACCATGGTTAAGGAAAAGGTCGATGCGAACATTTTTAAAGAGCCTTATTTGATGCAGCAGACAACCTAATATGTTTAGGAGTTCAATTACAGTTCGTCATATCACTACGTAGATAGAAGTTAATAGCCCAAACTTTATATATCAGGCATTGCTAAAAAAAATATATCCTCTAGGTGATGGTAAAAAAAAGTTGGCATAAACTCTCCGTCTCTCTAGAGTATAGGTCCTAGTAATATAATTTTGCCCAGCAAACTGTAGTCTATTAATCAGCACATCCGTGCTAAGCTAGTTGTAAAAGTAAATTGCACATGATATTATATGAGTGAGTTAACACTGAGAGAAATTTATCACTTGATATATATATATATATATATATATATATATATAGATTTGGGTGAGTCACATAGGCACTATCTTAGGCAAAATAAATTTTTTAAGTCTATTTTGAAGTTCTCATCAAAAGGTATGTAAAGAATTTCGAACTCATGTTTCACATGTATTGTTTGAATGTTTATGATCAACAGAGAAGCATCTAGTGAAGGAGTCCCTGCATGGTCAAAGAAACAGCAATTAATCAACTCTCTTGCTCGCCTAGCTGTTGGAGAAAGTATTCACGGAAAGAGTCTGTGGTGTGGTGCGATGTGCTGTGATTCATGTGGTGTTGTAGATGGAGATGGCATCACTCTAATGAATGATTCATTCAGTTGAGAATTCCATGGAATGGGCTTCCCAGGTTGAGTTAAGATATATCATCAAATAATTCACAGGCTCAGGCTCAGACTTCAAGCACAGAAATTGTCAATTACGGCACTACATTATTACTTGCCCGTTATTTCCTGGCAAAGGAATCGGCGGACAGAACAAAAACCATAAGGAATCGAGTCAAAAGGAACGGAGAAAGATCAAGTGGTTCTGACCATAAGTGAAATAATCAAGACTTTTTTTCGGCATATTTCATAAATCAACATGCTTTCTTCTCCCTTAATGCAGCAGCCAAGAAGCCTGACAAGATTCCGGTGCTGAAGTCTGGCAATTAGAAGGACTTCATTCTTAAACTCATCAGGACGTTCTCCTGAATATTTCGATAGCCTTTTTACTGCTACTTCTTGGCCGGTAGAAAGACTTCCCTGCATGTATTTTGCTCATTGGGAGCTTGTGTTGTTATTTGAATTCACTCATTATACATTGTCCACTTTGACCCGTCTTATACAGAGTCTTACGGTTTTGTCCCTTGAAGTTCCAATGTTAAACATTGTCGTTACGTTAAAAGGCATCTCTCTTATGAGTTAATTTCAGTCTCACACACATATATATGCCAAGAATGCTCTCCCCTCAATGCGCAACTTAGTCTGTTCTTGTCTTTTTTGCCATCCCAGAAGCCTGCCAAAAGCCGCTCCTAATCTAGGCCTCTAGCCCCGGTGAAGGAAATTGAAAAGGTTGTCCAGTTTCTTAATATCACCCAACCACATCAAGCCAAACCCTAAATTTAGTTAGTTCACTTCTTCCAATATGCTAAATTCAATCCGTAGTCCATCCAAGAAACTGGCAATTTTTACAGTACTTCGGCCTTATGGATACTTCTTATAGTGTAACGACCCGGTCTCATGAGTACATTGAACAAATTAAAAGTTCATGGACTGTTTGTATTATTATCCCATACTTTTATCGTTTTGTTGGCATTTCCTGTCAAGGTCAAACTACTGTGCGTCCGCTCAGGACGTTCTCCTAACTATATAGAGAATCAAGTCATAGAATTTTGAATATCTGATTTTGGACGATAGTTTCCTATTGATTTTTTTTTAATTCTTGGACGGGTTCTATGAACATTTGGACATCATCTGAAAATGTTTCACAATGAGAGATCACGCGTTAATTGTAGTTTCATCTCAGTTGAAATAACAGAAGACGTAGCATAGGAAAATGATCCTTTGTTTGATTGCTTTGAGATTTCCTCATAAGTGACATTGAGCAAGCATGCAATGGAAGAAAGAAAGGACCACTCGATTCAAATGAAATGGTTTTTATACACGAGTTCAGGTGTAACTGTAACTCTCAAATTCTATTCAATTCCAGAACATACTAATCCGCAAAATTCACTGGCCTCTTCTATTCAACTCAGCACTAGTCCTGGCATGATCTGGTGTACGCCTTTTAATTTGATGATCTCTTAGATAGTGGATCTTTCATAAAATCCACACTTAAAATACGGAATTTCTGATTGGACCCAGAAGAATTTGACTCCTGAAAACCAAGCTACTAAAGTTTCAAGAAAATTGGGATGCTGTCACTGCTACTGGTAACTCGTGACGAGATGGTACAATTTTCTGAGTCACATAACTTTGTTAGACTAGCTTTGAACAAGTGCCTTAAACAAATTTTGTCAACACTAAAGATAAAAAGTTGAGAGGCATGCCATCATATGTCAACATTGGGGATAAGAAATGAGAGGTGTGGTGATTCCGTGTAGAAAACACAACGTATTCTGCTCCGGCACGTTGCAATTTGCCCCTGCTAAACCAAATATGGATACAAAATCTCTGTGAACACAAAACCTAGTAATGTATCGCAATACGAAAGTTTCAACTCTATACCACAGAATGCCTACCGACATTCCGGCATAGTCAGAGTGACTGCATTTTGCGTATTCGAGTCTCCCTTTGATGTAGCCCCATCGGAGCACACCGAGTTTCTTTCCGTGAAGTAGCCGGGCTCTTTAGGTTCAGGCAGCACCCATCCACAATTGAGTATCATACAAACTGCAGATGACATAGCCGGCCTATCTTCAGGGAACTTTTGGACACACAACAAGCCCACTTGAATGCATCTTTCTACTTGGGTTCTGTTAAATGAGTTGTGCAGGCATTCATCCATTAATTCCAAGGCCCTACCTTTACTCCAAAGCAACCACGCCTGAAGAAAATTGAGAACTCGGGTGCTTAGTCATTGAGAATTTGCCCCAGATGAACGTGTAAAAGATCAAAGAGAGATGGAAAGCCAGTATTAATTGTGTCTGTTTACTTACATGTCCAAGCAGGTTGTGGTGATGGCTTGGATGGGAAAATCCTCTATTCCTTTTGCCGCTGATTATCTCCAACAGGAGCACGCCAAAGCTATATATGTCCGACTTCAAAGAGAATTTCCCATCGAAAGCATACTCAGGGGCCATGTAGCCACTACATTTTGGGAAAAGAAGGTTTTTAGGCTTTGGTCCTCTAATGATGTGTTCTTCATGTCAAGAACCAAGAAAAGAGCCGAAAAGGGAAGACTTACTAAGTTCCAATGACTCTTTTTGTTCTTGCTTCTTTTTGGTTAGCTCCAAAGATTCTTGCCAAGCCAAAGTCGGAGATTTTAGGGTTTAGGTCGCCATCTAGTAATATGTTGCTTGCTTTTAGATCTCGGTGGATTACTTGAAGTTTGGAATCATGATGAAGATAGAGAAGTCCTCTTGCAATGCCGACAACAATGTCAAACCGTCTTTGCCATGTCAACAGAAGGCTTTGATCTTGATCTGTGGACAGCTCAAAATTCGCACAGTCAATCTCAAAAAACAAAAAAGCCTAATGAAAAGCGATAACTTCAATTGGTATCACTATGAAAGAGTATCATTTGATCAGTAGGGAATTAAAACGTGAAATTGTCTAACCAAATATGAAGTAATTCAAGCTCTTTTTGTCCATGTACTCATAAATCAAGATTCTCTCCTCTCCCTCAATGCAACAACCCAGAAGTCCGACAAGATTCCGGTGTTGAAGTCGCGCGATCAAGAGTACTTCATTCCTGAACTCTTCAAGACCTTGCCCTGAACTCTTTGACAGCCTCTTGACTGCTACTAGCTGCCCTGTATGAAGTTTTCCCTACACAATAGCAGCATCTTGTTTTATAATGCATCATCAGTGCGGCGCAAAATTCTATATGATATAAGCTAAACTATGTACCTTGTAAACAGGACCGAAGCCGCCAACCCCAATCATATTGTCATCAGAGAAATTGTTTGTGGCACTTACAAGGGTGGCCAGATCATATAATGGTAAATCGATGTCTTCTTTTGTGATTCCTAGATCATGTAAAGTAATATTCGTCTTTTGCATAAGCATAGGACGATGACAACGAGCTAGCGCGCCTATTAAACAAATTGAAGCAATGCAACTTTGAGTTTATAACGAAATCAGCCTTAATCGAAGATCAGGCTTACCTTCTATCGTGATTCTCCTTTTCCTATGCTTTAGACACCACAATGCAGTTCCGACCAAAAGCAATCCACCAATTATTGAACTCAATACAACAGCAACCATAATTATTTTTCTCCTGGTGTGGTCACGAATGGCATCTAGAGTAGAGAAAAAGAGCGGTGAAGATTAACTCTTCCCCGTTTCTCTTGCCCAAATAACTAGCATTTCAATAATTCAGGAGAAGTAAGTCAATTAGCATAAGTATGCATACCTAGTTCAGAACCTGATAGGCGTATGTATAGAGTTTGCCCGTAATTCTGTTCTTCGAACACTCTCATGTCGATCAAGTCCGCAAACCACATGAGACAGCCCCTGCCTCCTGCTCTGATATCTGAATTAGCATAAGCCGTGCACGAACAGTTCTTCAAGCACTCGTCCTTGCATTCTTTGAGGCTCATACTCTTGTTCATCGTAACCTCCAACAGGTCAGGCAGTTTGACTTTTTTAATTTCCAAGAACCCTTCTCCTTTTGAACAATTCGTGGGTATTGTCCTCTTGCATCCGCTGGAAAAATTAAGGACCGTCCATTCGTCAGGCGACTTAGGCATGAACCCTTTCACACATTTGCACAAGCTAAGGCTGCAAATGGCATTAGCACCGCACTTGCCATAGGAATCGCAGGGATCAATAGGGAACTCATACATAACATTCCACGTGGTGCTTCTTGATCTATTCATCAACAAAACCTGCAGCACTCCCGAATAGTTTAATGTCATTATCGAGAAAAACTGACTGTTCTGAACCTCAAACATGAAAGAAATCTCAGTTTCATTGCACACAAACGTGGGCAGAGTAGCTCGATTTGGTGTAAAGGAATCTCCAACAAATTGAACTCCATTCCATTCCCCAGTTCGAAATTTTATGCTAGGGACATCCACCTGGACTAGTTCATACTGAGGTAGAACCTGACTGGAGTTTAACCCAGAGACATAATTTCCAGGAGAAGGGTCATCCATGCTTTTCCACGCAGTCAGATGCCATTTGAGACCCGTTTTCAAGTTCAGCCCAAGCTTCATACCGGCTAAAAGCGTGTCAGATGGGTAATCGAAGCTTTGCCACAAATAGGCTTCATCAGAACTTGAACCGGAATTATCCCAAAGAACAAGATTTCCAGAATTCAGGAGCCGCGCAATTGGATTTGAGAGGACCCTGGACGAATTCGAAGACCAAACAACACCTTTCCACTGGTTGAGAACAACTAGATTGCCCACATTGCTAAATGTGAGAACACCCTTAGGATGGGCTATCGAGTTGTTTCTGTTAGCAACCCACACAACCCTTTCAGGACTGAACTTGTACCATATACCCAAGTAGCTCATATTTGAGTTGCCAGGAGTAAAGAATCCTAGCTCAAAGATTTGGTCAGAAGAAACCAATGTTTTTCCATAACTGATGGACTGATACATGTCCAAAGTATCGGCTGCAAGTGACAAACCGATCGTAGGGACAATGATGAAAATGGAGAATGTGATCTTTGCCATTGTTTGCAAATGTCCTCTTCTAGGTTCTAACTCCATCTTTATATGCAAATTATTCCAAACTTATCCACAACATGACCACAACTCCAACGGGTCCTCAAAGCCTAACTTTTTTTATTGCTTTCCACCTAAAGATTTACGGGTTCCTTGTACCAGTTTCGCCGCATATTCCTATGGTTCTCTGTTCTTAACTCTGACTTCCGATCTTTTTCCTTCTCCAAGTTCTCCATGTTCCACTTTATCCACTTTGTTTATAGCAGCTTTTTTGGATTCCAGATGGATATTAAGAGGCAGGAACTCATACTGACGGACCACTTTTCACTTCGGCCATGTTCACACCTTGTGCTTTTCCAGCTAAATCCTTCAATGTCCGATGAAACTCAGACATTTTGACATGAACAGTAACGCGGTTGTCTCTATAAAACGCATCACTCCTGGTCTAGGATGATTTCAGGGTCAACGGTTTGGACTTTCATGAAACGACGCGCGAAATTGACAACTGGGCGGCGTTTGGGTGCATTTTCATCGCACGTCGTTTTAACCCTTCAAATGGGTTGGACTGTATGGCAAAGAAAATAAAACACCAATAGCCGCCATTTGCGTAGGCTGTAACGTAAAGAAAGAATTACGAAGAATAAGATGGGCGATTGCTTCCTCCAACTGTGAGTATGCGGAGCGATATGATAAGAAAAAGCATGAAAAATAATTTACATGATCATATATCTTTTTTTCGATATTCGTATAAGAGAAAACTCTGAAATTTATTTAACATTGACTAATTGTCTGATAAGTCTAATGTAAAGTATTGATATAAGTATTTGGTGAAAAAGCCTAACACAGCTTGATCGGGCCCCAGTCACAGCCCGGCCTGGCCCGAAGATTTGCATATAAAAAATTTTACGATGGATAGGCTTGGCAAAAATTTAAGACCAACCTTAAAGCTCAGCTTGATCCCGCTCAATGATCACCTCTAATTTAAAATTAAAATTAGTGCACGTTTACATGATTTGTCGATATATAATATGGTCAATCATTCTGAAAATAATTAAACAAACTTAATCTGTGATTGTCATATGATTTTACTATTTGTACCTTGTAGATGATAAAACAAAAGTAAGGGTGCAATCAAATATGATATGATGTGCCATAGTTCAATAAGATCTAAAGTTAGATTCATCTTACTTTTCCTACCTTCCACTTTTAAGTAGCTCTTCCCATCTTTATGCTTGATATAGAAATCATGCTTCTTAAGAGAAACTAAGAGACTATGTACCAGGTCAGGCAATTCAACTAGCAAAAGTTTCATAAAACCCTCACCACGACAACAATAGAAATGGAATTTTCCTCATGCGCCCCTCCGTCAACTTAAGCTAATCCCATTCTTCTTACGACTTAGGCATAAAACCCTGCAAGCAAGCAGAGGCATATCTGATACCTTGCAATCTGGCCTTGCTAAACCAAGTATGGATACAAAATATCTTTCAACAGAAACTGAGTAATTTATCGCAATATCACAGTTTCGACTCCAGTAGCATAAGATGCCTACCGGCCTTCCAGCATAGTCAGAGTGACTACATTTTGCGTATGTGAGTCTCCCTTTGATGATGTGCCTTTGGAGTACCCCGAGTTTCTTTCAATGAAGTAACCAGGCTCTTTAGGTTCAGGCAGGACCCATCCACAACTGAGTATCATACAAATTGCAGACGACATTGCCGGCCTATCTTTAGGGAACTTTTGGACACACAACAAACCCACTTGAATGCATATTTCCACTTGGGTTCTGTCAAATGAGCTGCGCAGACATTCATCCATTATTTCCAGTGCCCTACCTTCTCTCCAAAGCAACCATGCCTGAAGATAAATTGGGAACTTGTGTGCTTAGTCATTGAGAAATCCCCCGAATAATCATGCAAAATATCAAATAGAGATGCAATGCCAGGGTTACTAGCGCCTATTTAACTTACATGTCCGATGAGGTTGTGGTGATGGCTAGGATGGGAAAATCCTTTGTTCCTTTTTCCGCTGATTATCTCCAACAGGAGCACGCCAAAGCTATATATATCCGACTTCAAAGAGAATTTCCCATCACAAGCATACTCCGGGGCCATGTAGCCGCTACATTTCGCAAAAGAAGGATTTTAGACTGCGGCCCTCTATCATAATGAGTGCTTCATCTCAAGAACCAATAAAAAAAACAAAAAAGGAGAAACGAAAAAAAAAATGGCCTTACTAAGTTCCAATCACTCTTTTTGTGCTTGCTTCTTTTTCGTTAGCTCCCAAAATTCTTGCCAAGCCAAAGTCTGAGATCTTAGGGTTTAGGTCTCCATCTAGTAATATGTTGCTTGTTTTAAGATCTCGGTGGATTACTTGAAGTTTGGAATCATGGTGGAGATAGAGAAGTCCTCTTGCAATACCAACAACAATGTCAAACCGTCTTTTCCATGTCAATAGCAAGCTTCGTTCTTGATCTGTGGATGGCTCAAAATTCCCATGATCAATCTCAAAACAGTAACTAATGAAAAGTGCTACCTTAGATCGGTATCACTGTGAAAGAGTATCATTTGATCATCAGTAAGGAATTAAAAAGCGAAATTGTCTAACCAAATATGAAGTAATTTAAGCTCTTGTTGTCCATGTACTCGTAAAGCAAGATTCTCTCCTCTCCCTCGATGCAACAACCTAGAAGTCCGACAAGATTCCGGTGTTGAAGTCGGGCTATCAAGAGTGCTTCATTCTTGAACTCTTCAAGACCCTGCCCTGAACTCTTTGATAGCCTCTTGATTGCTACTTGTTGTCCTGTCTGAAGATTTCCCTACACAATAGCAGCATATTATTTATAATGCGTCATGAGTTCGGCGCAGATTCTATGTCACAAGCGGTAAACTCTGTACAATGTAAACAGGACCGAAGCCGCCAGCCCCAATCATATTGTCATCAGAGAAATTGTTCGTGGCACTTACAACGGCGGCCAGATCGTATAACGGTAAATCGATATCTTCTTTTTTAATTTCTAGATCAAGTAAAGTAATATCAGTCAGTTTGCATCAGCATAGGACTATGACATCAAGCTAGTGCCTATTAAACCGATTAAAGCAACGCAACTCTAACGCTCCGTTTATTTCACAGAAAATGAACGAATTAAAAAATATTTTTTTAAAAATGATAACTTGCATTACTTGAAATAATTAGTTATTGAAAAATATTTTTATTACCGATAACAATTTATGTCTAAAAATTTTCATAAATGATAAAAATATTTTTTGTTTATTTATTTTTGTAAACGATACAATTGATTATTTTTAAAAAATATTTTAAAATTATTCATTTTTCGTAAAACTAACGAAACATGAGTTTATAACAAAATCTGCCTTAGTTGAAGGTCGGGCTTACCTCCTGCGCTGGTTCTTCTTTTCCTATGCTGTACGCACCACATTGCAGTTCCGACCGAAAGCAATCCACCAATGATTGAACTTGATATGACAGCATCGATAATTATTTTTCCCCTGGTGCGGTCACGAATGGCATCTAGAGGAGAGAGAGTTGCGAAGATTAACTCTTTTCACATTTCTCTTGCCCAAATGACAAGTTAAACAATAATCAGCATAAGCATGCATACCTAGGCCGGAAGCTGATAGGCGTATGTATAGAGTTTGCACGTCGTTCCGTTCTTCGAACACTCTCATGTCGATCAAGTCTCCAAACCACATGAGACAGCCCCAGCCTCCTCTGTTATCTGAATTAGCATAAGCCGTGCACGAACAATTCGTCGAGCACTCGTCCGCACATTCCGTGAGGTTCATACTCCTGTTCAGCGTAATATTCAGCAGGTCGGGCAGTTTAACCTTTTCAATTTCCAAGAAGCCGTCTCCTTTTGAACAATTCGTGGGTATTTTCCTCCTGCATCCGCCGGAAAAATCAAGTGATGCCCATTTGTCTGGCGACTGGGGCACGAACCCTTTCACACATTCGCACGAGCTGAGGCTGCAGATGGCATTAGCACCACACCTACCATAAGTATCGCACGGATCACGAGGGACTTCCAATATGATATTCCACGTGGCGCTTCTCGATCTATTCACCAGAAAAACCTGGATCACTCCCAAATAGTTTAATGTCATTTTCCAGAAGAGTTGACTATTAAGAACCTCAAACGTTATGGAGATTTGAGCTTCATCGTTCACGAAGATGGGCGCAACAGCTGGATTTGGTATAGGGGGAATGCCAACAAATTGAATTCCGTTCCATTGCCCGGTTCGAAATTTTTTGCTATGCACATCCTCTTGGACTACTTCATACTGAGGTAGACCCTGACGGTAGTTTAAAAAATTTACGTAATCTCCGGGAGAAGGGTCGTTCATGCTTTTCCATGCAATCAGACGCCATTCGAGGCCTGTTTTCAGATTCAACCCTAGCTTCATACCGGCTAAAAGAGTGTCAGTCGGATAATCGAAGCTTTGCCATGAATACGCTTCATCAGCACTCGAACCAGATTTTTCCCAAAGAACAAGATTTCCCGAATCCAGGAGTTGCGCAACTGGATTCCGAAGGACCCTGGACGAATTCGAAGACCAAACAACACCGTTCGACTGGTTGAGAACAACTAGATTGCCGACGTTGCTAAATCTTAAAACACCGTTACAATCAGCTAGCGGGTTATTTCTATTAGCAACCCACACAACCGTTTGAGGACTGAACTTGTACCATATGCCCAAGTAGCTCACACTTGAGTTGCTAGGAGTAAAGAATCCTAGCTCAAAGGTTAGGTTCGGAGAAACCAACGTTTCTCCAAAACTGATGGACTGGCTCGTGCCCAAAATATTGGCTGCAAGTGACAAACCGATTGCAGGGACGATGATGATAATGGAGAATGCTATCTTTGCCATTGTTTGCGAATGTCCTCTTCTAAGTTCTTACTCCATCTTTATATGCAAATCATTCTAAAGTTGTCCACAACATGATTACAATTCTAACGGGTCCTTAAAGTCTAAACATCTTCTTCTTCTTTTTGTGCTTTCCACTTTAGGTCTTATCGGTTCCTTGAATCGGTTTGCACGCATATTAATTGGTTCTCTGTTCTTAACTGTGGCTACTTACATTTTCCTTTCTCCAAGTTCTCCATGATATACGGTATCCACTTTGCTTATAGCAACATTTTTGAATTCCCGTTGGATATTAGAAGGCAGGACCTCATACTTGCGCATCCTTTTTCACTTCGGTCATGTCTATACCTCTTACTTTTCCAGCTACATAAGTCGACATCATATGAAACTCAGACACTTTAACGTGAACATAACACGTTTGTCTCTATCAAACCCATCATTCCTCGTCAAGGATGATTTCAGGGTTAGCTGTGCCCCTTGGACTTCATGAAACTAGAAACACCGTAATGGGTTAAAGAGATTTGTACACCCGATTTGAAATTTATCATTCTTGATGCGGAATGACAACAATCCAAAGCTCAAGTGCTTCTTATTTGTTGCCTTCTAAATCACTAGCTCAGTGAGACTGCTGCTCATGTCGCAATTCTATAACTACTCCTTGTGTGAAGTTGTTTGTGCATCGGGATTAAAAGAGAGACTTCAACTCTATTTATGGAGCTTTCAGCCAGGCCCTCTCATCACGGGCCGGGCTCAACTCGATCCACACAAACCAGGCCCATATTAGACTAATCAAGAATTTTATATCTTACCTTATTAAACCAAGCCCGTAAAACTGTTAATTACAATCTCAATTAATGTAAGTCACATAAGAAAAACTCTTACAGAAATAACATGCAAAGTTGACACTTGCGTGACATTTCGGTTCACTTTCTTCGCAAGTCATTTAACCCATCAAATGGGCTGGACGGTATGGCAAAGAAAGGCAGCAGCAGCCATTGGAGGCTGTAAGAATTATGAAGGATGAGATAGGTGATTTATTGGTTCTGGAGTTATACATATAGGACTTCTCGCACATGTCACTCCTCCAACAATGAGTATGTCAAGTGATAAGATAAAAAACCAAAGAATGGAAAACAAATTTTTAAGATCATATTTTTTTATGTTCGATATGTGTAAATGAGAAAACACCTGATCATTTAAGAGTGGCGTATTGTCCGATTATTATAGTTTAAAACATTAATAAAGGTAAATATAATTTAAAAAGTTGGCTTACTATCCAAATCAATAATCATGGACGTGGAATCATGGATTGCACAATAATGGATTGCATGGATTGTGTACTTAGAATTAATCGCAAACAAAATGAACCAATATCTGTAAGTGAGAGACCGTAGACTCACTTTATTGTTCAATCCACGTAATCTTCAGGAGAAGGGTCGTCCATGCTTTCCACGCAGTCAGACGACATTCGAGGCCCGTTTTCAAATTCAATTTGTGATTAATTGAAGATTAATCTTCATACCGGCTAAAAGCGTGTCAGACGGGTAATTGAAGCTTTGCCTATTCAAGGCTTCATCAGCTCTCGAATTGGATTCATCTCAAAAAAACAAGATTTCCCGAATCCAGGAGCTGCGCAACTTGATTCAGGAGGACCCTAGACGACTTCGAAGACCAAACAACACCGTTCTACTGGTTGAGAACAACTAGATTGCCCACAATGCTAAATGTGAGAACACCATCACGATCGGCTAGTGGGTTGTTTCTGTTAACAATCCACACAATCGTTTCAGGACTAAACTTGTACCATATACCCAAGTAGCTCATACACGAGTTCCTTGGAGTAAAGAATCCTACCTTATAGGTTAGGTCCGAAGAAACCAATGTTTCTCCATAACTGATGGACTGATTCATGCCCAAAGTATTGGTTGCAAGTGACGAACCGATCGAGTGGGTGAGGATGAAAATGGAGACCGCGCGATCTTTGCCATTGTTTGCAAATGTCCTCTCCTGAGTTCTTACTCTATCTTTATGTGCAAATCATTATAAACTTGTCCACAACATAAACACAAATCAAACGGGGTCCTGCATTTTTTATTGCTTTTCCATTTTAAGATTTACTGGTTTGGATGCATAATAGTTGCGAAAACAAGTGATCGAATAGTAAAATAGAAAAAAATAAGAAAATAGATTTTACACGGTTCGGTCGATATAACCTACATTCACGGAGAGAGCAGCAAATAATTCCACTATAAATCAAGCAATACAATGGAGATTACAACCACAGTCAAGTCACTTAAATACTCTCAATGTTTCTCAAGCTCTAATTACACCCAATAACTCACACATTATTTAACTCTACAATTCCTCACATACTAATATCTCGATCTCACGAAAGAATTCACAGATCTTACCACAAGATTTGATCATAATCCGAATATAAGTTTGTATTTAAGTCACAATATTTAACCCCATAATTGTCCAATTCAAGTCCATATTGGAATTTCCAATATTAGTCCAAAAACTTTAATAATTCGAATATAAGTCTGTCAATGTATTTCCTTTTTCTAGTTTGCTTGGCAAATTCCAATTTGATATCAGGAGAAAACAGGAAATATCCAACTTGGACTTTAACAAGGAATAGGAAATATGTATTTTCATGGCACACATTCGGATGTCCACAAATAACAATTCATCTCGGATCGGGTTTCGTTCGCAGACTCAAACTCAAGATATATTTTAACATTCCCTTAATTTTCTGTTCTTAACTCTGACACTTACATTTCTTCTTCTCCAAGTTTTTCCATGTTCTACTTTTATTAACTTTGTTTATAGTAGCACTGTTGGATTCCATTTTAAAAGGCAAGACCTCATACTCACGGACCACTTTCACTTCGGCCATGTTCATACGTCGTACTTTTCCAGCTGAATCATAAGTTAATCCAACGTCAGATGAAACTCGGGCACTATGACATGAACATAACGCGTTTATCTCTATCGGGTTCCGTCATTCCTGGTCCAGGATGACTTCAGGGTCAAGCATGTTCCTTTTGGACTTCATAAACGACATGCGAAGTTGACACTTCAGTGACGTTTGGGGGAACTTTCTGGGCGGGTGGTTTTAACCCTTCAAATGGGTTGGACGGTATAGCAAAAAGAAGTAAACAGCAGCAGCCGCCAGAAAATTAAGTCCATATTAGAATCAATAATCATGGACGTGGAATCGTGGATTGTACAATAAAGGGTTTGTAAGAGTGTATTGACAATTAATCACAAACAAAATGGACCTATGTTTGTAAAGTGAAACACGAGAGACCCACTTTAATAGTTCCATCCATAAAGAAGCCCACGCAATGCTTTGGCTGGCGTAGAGCTGTCAGGGTACGAGGGCCCTGTCTTTCACCTTTGGATCTTTAGTTATGGTCCAAAAATGGGGTAATTATTTTTGTAGGATGACCATTTAGGATTTCGTATGATTATTTGAGCTGTGTGTGTTACTTTAATCTGGTGATTCGGCTAAATGTTGGGCCGTGTTTAAAGAAAATGTCGATGCGAACAATCTTGGAACATTTTTGTTGACTTTTCAGTATAACCTGGTATATGCACGAATATAGGACACAAGTATGGACCAAAAAGGCTAGAAAATATTCAGATGGAATGGCTGTGTGACATCAATTAATATCGGTCTCCGAGTTATTGCAATTTGGGTATATTATTTTTTGACAATGAGATTTTGGAACGTCGTAACTTGAAATAAACTTTCATAGAACTGACTGCCCGGCCCCACCCACAAGGTTCGAAGAACTTTTTGGACGGGTTTGAGTAAGACTACCTGGTGAAAAAGCCTAACACGGCCTGATCGGGCCCTAGTCAAAGATTGGCCCAGTCCAAAGATTTGCATATAGAAATATAAAAATCTTACAATGGACATGCTTGGCAAAAATTAAAGACCGACCTTAATGCCCAGCTAAGCTCGAGCTTGCTTGATGATTACCTCTAACTTGAAAATAGGAGTGAATATGGTTCTACGATAGAACCAGGAACCAAAGAACAGGACCGGTGGGAACTGATCTGGTTCTAGGTTTCAAGGTATGCAGGTTAGGTTTCGGATTCCAAAATTAAGGAACCGGTTTGGACTGGAACTTGGAACCATGCGGTATTTTATGGCGTGCGATAATGAGTGCTTACTTTGAAACCACTACTCAGACTTATAGTTTGTTAATGTTTCATATTATTTGTGTGTCTAAATATGAGTTGTGATCAGTGATTTGTATAAGCAAATGATGGTCATTAGAGGTGATTATTCAATGTAATTATTCAATTAAGAATACAAAGTGAAATCTAGGTAGGCTTTGAAACCAAGCCTAGAACATGTGACAGGGTAGGTTCCAGATTTAGAGTGTGCAAGAAAGATTCTTGGTTCCAAAAATTTGGAACCGATTCGGACGGGTATGTTCCGGATTTTAGGTGGAATCTGGAACCTTGAAACTGCTCACCCCTACTTGAAAATGAATTAGTGCATATTTGAATGATTTATCGATATATGTTACTAAAAATAATTAGGAAAAAAATTGAATTTAAAGTTAGATTTATTTCACTTTTCTTAGCTTCCACTTTTAAGTAGCTCATCCCATCTTTGTGATTGATATAGAAATCATGCTTCACAAGAGAAATTATGAGACTTATATACCCGTTCAGGTAACTTAACCTGCGAAAGTTTCATAAACCCTCGCCACAAGAATAATTCAACGAAATTTTCCTCATGCATACCTCTGTCGAATTAAGCAAGTCCCACTCGTCTTGTGGCTTAGCTAGAAAACCCTGCAAGCAAAGGCATCTCTGATTCTGACCAAAAAAATGGCATCTCTGATACATTGCAATGGCCCAGCTAAACCATACATGCAAACAAAATCCCACGAAAAACCTAGTAATCTATAGCAATACCGAACTTTCAACTCTTATGGCCACGGATGCCTACCGACCCTCCGGCATTGTCAAAGTGACTATATTTTGCATATGTGAGTCTCCCTTTGATGAAGCCCCATCTGAGTTCCTTTCCGTGGAGAAACCAAGCTCTTTAGGTTCAAGCAGGACCAAACCACAATTGAGTATCATACAAATTGTAGAGGACATAGCCAGACTGTCTTCAGGGAAGTTTTGGACACACAATAAGCCCACTTGAATGCATCTTTCCACTTGGGTTCTGTCAAATGAGCTGTGTAGGCATTCTCCATCATCTCCAAGGCCCTACCTTCACTCCAAAGCAACCATGCCTGAAGAAAAATTGGTAACTCGTGTGCTTGGTCATTGAGAAATCACCCTGAATGACCGTGCAAATGATCTGAGAGAGATGGAATGCCAGTGTTAGTAGTGTGCCTATTTACTTACATGTCCGAGGAGGTTATGGTGATGGCTTGGATGGGAAAATCCTTTGTTCCTTTTACCGCTGATTATCTCCAACAAGAGCACACCAAAGCTATATATGTCCGACTTCAAAGAAAATTTCCCATCCATTGCATACTCAGGGGCCATGTAGCCACTGCATTTCGCAAAAAGGTTTTAGGCTGTGGCCCACTATAATAATGAGTGCTTCATGTCAAGAACCAAAAGAAAAGACTCACTAAGTTCCAATGACTCTGTTTGTTCTCGCTTCTTTTTCATTAGCTCCAAAGATTCTTGCCAA